CAGGACACAGCAGGCCCGGCGGGTGGGGCGGGGGAGGCCGTCATCAGGGAGCTTTGTCCAAGTGTGCGCCTCTGCGTGTCTCAGCGTGGTGTCTCTGCTGTCTCTGCATGTCTCTGTGTGTCTCTTGCTGTCTCTGTGGTGTCTTTGTGTCTCTGTGCTGTCTGCGTGTCTCTCGTGTCTGAATGTCTTTGCATGTCTCTGTATGCTCTCTGTCTCTGCTGTCTCTGGGGTCTCTGCGTGTCTCTTGCTATCTCTGTTCTGTCTGCATGTCTCTGCTGTCTTTGTGTATCTGTGTCTCTAGTATCTCTGACTGTCTCGGTCTCTCTGCGTGTCTCAGTGTGGTATCTGTGCTGTCTGCGTGTCTCTGCATGCTCTGTGTCTCTGCTGTCTCTGGTGTCTCTGTGTGCTGTTTCTGTCTCTGCCTACTTCTGTACCTCTCATGTTTCTCTAGCCGCTCCCTGCCTGAGGCTGCCTAGCCCCGGGTGAGAGTCTGTGCCTCTGTCTCCACGGTCCCGCCTTCTGCCTCCAGCAAGCACTTCTTCCAAGTACCCTGCGTCCCTCAGCTGGAGGCCTTCCCAGCACAGGGGCACCCTGCTGTGTGCGAATAGCCGCCTCCTTTCTGCAGCTCCGGGGAGGGCAGGGAAGGAGGATTGAGTGCCCAGCGCCGGTGCAAAGCGGGGAGCTCAGACACCCCAGAACCTGGCTGAGGCACCCCCACTTTAAAGCCCGCCTGCCTGCGGCTGTAGACTCCAGGCCTCTGCACCCTGGCTGGGACAGCTGGCCACTGAGCGGGGGGGGGGGGGGGGGCTCTCTCACCATCCACCTGAACACCCTCTGAGGGAAACAGCAGACCCTAGGGCAGCCTTCCGGGCCTGGACGCAGCCCCCGGCCCCACCCCTGCAACCTCCTGTTGTGCTTGGGAGTGTGCGGTCCACCTCCCCTGGAGTCACTCAGCATGTGCGGGATGCCTAGTGGATGCCGGGCCCAGGGTTGTCCAAAGCGAGTGACAGACAACACAGTGGGCCCTGGCGGGCGGGTGGGTGGGGGGGGGGGGGCGGGGGGTGATGGGGGGCCCTGGCGGGTGGGTGTGGCCTGGCCCCCATGGCGTTGGCTTTGTCTGGGAGTCTCTGCAGAGACCCGAGTGCAGGAGCCCTGGTGAGGTGCCTGCGGCGGGTGGGCAGAGAGGAAACGCCCTGCGAGGGCTCCGTAGGGCTCCTGTACACACACCATCTGTGCCCACGCCTCATGGGGGCACGGGCTGGTGGGCAGCTTCAGGAGTGGGGAGATCAGTCACCTGGCGCCTGACCTTGTGAGTGAAGACGCCTCCAGGTGACCCCAGCAGCCCCCCACGGTTCACATGACCTGGCTGAGACCTGGAGTGGGGACAGGCCACCCACTGGCTCCGTCAGCTCCTGTGAGCCGGAGTGGGCCTTGGTGTAAGGGTTATTCTCTGTGAGGTCTATTGCCAAGTTTAAAATGAGGAAACTGAGGCCTGCATGAGAACAATTAGAAGCCAATTTATTCGGCTCCCGGGAAAGGTTCCGTAGTCCCGGAGAAAGAGGCCAGGGAAGTCACGCCTGACTCCTCTCAGGCATGGGGTTATATAGGGAGGGAAGGCGCTCTGATTGGCTGTGGAGAAAGAGGACGTGGCAAGCTGCTATAGGTAGGTAGGCGGGATTTCCGGTGAGCGGGTTGGACGGGGCCATATGCTATTAGGCAGGTTTTAGCGGGGCTTCTTTTAAATTTTGGTGGGATTTTCCAATGGCTGGCTAGGTGCCGGGTGCAGAGTTTAGTGTGGAGTGCAGATCCTGGTGCTGAGTGCAGAGGGGATTTCCAACGGCGGGCTAGGTGCCGAGTGCAGAGTTTAGTGCCGAGTGCAGAGGGGATTTCCAACGGCGGGCTAGGTGCCGGGTGCAGAGTTTAGTGCCGAGTGCAGAGGGGATTTCCAATGGTTGGGCAGGCTAGGTGCCGAGTGCAGAGTTTAGTGTTGAGTGCAGATCCTGGTGCTGAGTGCAGAGGGGATTTCCAACGGCTGGGCAGGCTAGGTGCCGAGTGCAGAGTTTAGTGCCGAGTGCAGAGGGGATTTCCAACGGCTGGGCGGGCTAGGTGCCGGGTGCAGAGTTTAGTGCCGAGTGCAGAGGGGATTTCCAACGGAGGGGCGGGCTAGGTGCCGGGTGCAGAGTGTAGTGCTGAGTGCAGAGGTGGGCGTGGCGAAGCTAGATGCTGAGTGCAGATTCTGGTGACGTAATGTCAGGCGTGGAGAGGGATGGGCGTGTCCGAGCTCCCAGCGAGGCAACCGGCCCTACACTTGGTACTAGGCTTGAGGGTCTGTCCCTCAAACTGCCGTCAGAAGCTGGCTGTCCTGAGCGCCTGCCTCTCTGGATACAGTGGGGTGGGCAAGGCGGGCGGGGCATGGAGGAGGCCCGTGGCCCTGAAGCTCACTGCGCCCGGCCTACAAAAATCTTAAAAATTAGGCGTGGTGGCAGGGCACGTGCCTGTGGTCCCAGCTACACAGGAGGCTGTGGTAGGAGGACCTCTTGAGCCCAGAGGTTGAAGTTTCAGTGAGCTGTGATGGCACCACTGCACCCGAGCCTGGGGCGACAGAGTGAAAACCGTGTCTCAAAAAAAAAAAAGCTTCTGTTGTTTATTGGAAATTCCCGTCTAACCGGGGGCTTGTGTTTGCCAAATCTGGTCATCTCTCCTGCCCCGCCTCAAACGGAATCAGTGAGAAGTGGTTCTCTGGTGTCATCTCATTCGGGAACTACCTATTGAATGAATGAATCAATGACTGAATTACCAGCAGCTATGTTTCCATGTCTCCCCTTAGTTCAATGTTGTAGGGCTTTAGAAATTACACGCAGGCCAGGCACGAGGCTCACGCCTCTAATCCCAGCACTTTGGGAGGCTGAGACGGGCGGATCACCTGGGGTGAGGAGTTCCAGACCAGCCTGGGCAACATGGCGAAACCCCGTCTCTACTGAAAATACAGAAATCAGCCGGGTGTGGTGGCGGGCGCCTATAATCCCAGCTGCGTAGGAGGCTCTGGCCGGCGACTTGCTTGAACACGGGAGGCGGAGGTTGCGGTGAGCTGAGATCGCGCCACTGCACTCCAGCCTGGGCAGCAGAGCGAGACTGCCTCAGAAAAACAAAAAAACATGAGATTCACAAACACAGACACAACTTCGTGGTGGTCTCCAGACGGCTGCATGGATGCCTTTCCATGCAGTGGAATATTTACCGAATTCTTAAGAGCAGGGCTGGGGCTTAGATGTGTCTTACCATGCCAGACCCAGGGCCCTGCACACACTAAGTGCTCAATACATGCTTGCGTGTAAATGTGATTCCCAGGTGAGCACTCCATAGCCCCCAGAAAACACCCAAGCACAGTTTTCACTTCCATCCCCCCTCTTCCCAGTGGACTCTACCTCTCAAACTATCAGCCTCTTCCTACAATAGAGCCTGGAGGGCCCCTCCTCCAGGTGGGAGAAAGGGCACCGGGCCTCAGGCCTCCTGACTGCCCGTGCCGAGAAAGGTGACTTGAGGTCCGAGGCCCCAAGCAGGTGCGCTGCTCTTCCTCCTGGTGTGGGCCTGGCCGCACCCAGGTGGTTTGGGACGGAAGGCTCCCTGGCTCTGGGCTGGGGTCCAGGGTGCCTCCTGGAGCTTCTGTGTGACTTCAGGAGAGTCGCACAGCCCCTGTGAGCCTCAGTTTCCCCTTCTGGGACATGGGTCATAGCAGGACACCTTTACAGGGTCTCTGCACTAGAGTCTCAGCCCACAGCCTTGCACACAGTAGGCGCTCACGTTCCCCTTGGGAAGCAAAGGGAAACACCACCAGGCAGACCAGGAGGGGACACCCCCGCCTCGCGGGGCTTCCCCCGCAGTGGGGAGCGGTGACCCTTCTCAGACTTCCAGGAAAGAGCAAGAGTGCCTCCAGGTGGCCGCCTCCTGAGACACTGCTGAGAACCCTCAGCCCCGTGGAACTTGCACGCTGTATTTTCAGGGTTTGCATTTCCATCTGTAGCTTCCCGCCTTGCTCTCTTCTCTCTCTTTCTCTTTTTTTCTGAGACGGAGTCTTGCCCTGTCGCCCAGCCTGGAGTGCAATGGCGCGATCTTGGCTCACTGCAACCTCCGCTTCCCAGGGTCAAGCAATTCTCCTGCCTCAGCCTCCCGAGTAGCTGCGATTACAGGCCTGCGCCACCATGCCCGGCCAATTTTTGTATCGTTAGTAGAGACGGGATTTCACCATGTTGGTCAGGCAGGTCTCGAACTCCTGACCTCGTGATCTACCTGCCTCAGCCTCCCAGAGTGCTGGGATTACAGACATGTGCCACCGCTCCTGGCCTGCTCTTTTTAACGTTTCTGTCTTTGTTTTTGTTTTGAGTCCGAGTCTTGCTCTGTTGCCCTGGCGTGCTCTGGAGTGCAGTGGCGTGATCTCAGCTCACTGTAACCTCTGTCTCCCAGGTTCAAGCGATTCTTCTGCCTCAGCCGGCCGAGTAGCTGCGATTACAGGTGGCTGCCACCACGCCTGGCAATTTTTTCCTTTTTTTTTGTATTTTTAGTAGAGATGGGGTTTTGCTATGTTGGTCAGGCTGGTCAGGAACTCCAGACCTCAAATGATCCACCCGCCTTGGCCTCCAAAAGTGTTGCGATTATAGGCGTGAGCCACCTCGCCCGGCCTGGTTTTGTTTCGTTTTGTTTTTCAAAGAGAGAGACAAGGTTTCACTCTGTTGCCCAGGCTGGAGGGCAGTGTCACAATCACAACTCACTGCAGCCTCGACCTCCTGGGCTCAAGCCATCCCCCTGCCTCAGCGTCCTGGGTAGCTGGAACCACAAGCGCGCACTTTCATGCCCGCCAATTGCCCAGCTAATTTTTTATTTTTTTGTAGAGATGGAGTCTCGCTATGTTGCCCAGGCTGGTCTCGAACTCCTGAGATCCACTGATCCTTCTACCTCGGCCTCCCCCTCTACATACAGTAGGTGCTCAATAAAGACCAACCGGATGCAGGAGTGGATAACTTTATTGTTGGGGACTTTATTGCTGGGGTGACCCTGACCCGCAGGCCCCTACGCCCTAGGCCAGGACGCTGTTGATCCAGGCCGCATAGCTCGCCACGCGCGTGTAGATCCCGGGCTTCTTGCGGTTGCCGCAAACGCGGGAGCCGGAGGTGACTATGCCCTCGAGCACGCCCCCGCACACCAGCGGGCCCCCGGAATCGCCCTGCGGTGACAGGATGGGCAGTGAGGGGCGGACCGCGCCCACCCCAGCCCCACACGCCGGACACCCTCACCTGACTGCAGCTCCCGCCCCAACCTGGTCCTCGCTGGTCAATATCCCCGTGCCACGCCCACCACGAAGGCCACGCCCACAAGGCACGCCCTCTAGGCCCGCCGCCAGATCCTGGTCACACCCCCTTGGGCCTCAACCTCACCACATGGACCCCACTGCAACCCCACTCCATGCCCTTTCCAGTCTGGGGTCCCACCCCTTAGCCCTGCTCTCCCAGGCCTTCACTTGCCCCAGATCCCACTTCTTCCCTAACGCGTCTCAGCGGCCACCTGTTCTGCTCAACCCCGCCCACCTCAGGCCACGCCCCTCCCCTGGAGCACCACCCAGTCCTCGTCCCTGGCTACCACGCAAGCCACCACCTGTCCTAGGCCTCCGCCCTTCTCAGGGATCCCGCTCCGCAGCAGCCGGGCCGCTTCGGAAGTTCCCGCCCCTTCCACGTGCCGCGCCCCTTCCACGTGCCGCGCCCCTTCCACGTGCCGCCCCCTCTATACCTCCCACCCTTTCTCTGCCACCTGCCCTTTTGTTCGCCCAGCCCCTTCTCCAGGCCCACCCTCTCCACAGGTCCCACCCCTTCATTCAGGCCCCGCCCCTGCAGCCCCACCCCCTCATCATGCATCATCCCTATTCCTGGCCTCGCCCCCTTGCGGGCTGCGGTTACTTGGCCCGTTCCCTCCTGGAGCCCCACCCCTTCCACGGGCCCCGCTCCCTCTCCCGTAACCCACGGGCCCTTTCACCTCCCATTGTTTCCTGCCTTTTTTACCAGCCCCGACCCTTCTTCAGCCACCAGGATCCACAGGCCCAACCCCTTATCCAAGCCCCGCCCACACCCTACGAGGCCCCGCCCCTTCTCCAGGCCCCACCCCCCCCCCCCCCCCACCCATGCCCCCCGCCCCGCCCCACCCTCTGCGTGCCCCGCCCCTCCTCCGGGCCCCGCCCCTTCCCCGCCCCCGCCCCACGGCTCCCACCCACGCCCCCCTTCCCGTCCCCTCTCCGGGCGGGCGGCTCCTCCCACGCCCGCCTCCTTCCTGAAGGCGCACCTTGCAGGTGTCCCGGCGGTTGCTCTCCGCGCACATGAGGCGCTGGGTGATGGCGCCGTCGTGGTGCGAGCGCCGGTTGCAGGCGGCGCGGTCCATCACCGGCAGGAGCACGTGCTGCAGGAGGTCGGGCCGGCGGCCCGCGTGGGTGACTGTGCCCCAGCCGGCCACGTCGCAGAGGGTGCCCGGCGCCACGTCGCGGTCCACGCGCTGCCAGGGCACGGGGCCCACAGCACGGCCCAGCACGGCCTTCTCAGACAGCTGGGGGTGGAGGCGGACGTCAGGGCTGCGAGGCCGGGGAGACCGGACAGGGGAAGTGGGCATCAGGGCAGGGGCGCGGGTCTCAGTGCCGCGGGAGGGAGCCGGGTGGATCCTGGTGGGGTGTAGGTGGGGGTGCGGTGGGGGTGAGGGTCCCCAGTGCAGCCGCAGAGGTCGAGGCTAGACCGAGGTGGGGATTCGGGGGTAGCCGGGGGGGCGGTTGGGGGGGCTTCCAGCGCAGCAGGAGAGGTCGAGGCTAGATCCAGGGGGAGGGGACGGGGGCGGGGCGGGGTCCCCATGCAGCGGGAGAGGTCGGGCTGGACCCGGGGTGGGGGTGCAGGGGGAGTGGAGTTTTGGGGAGGTGCTCCCAGCGCAGCAGGAGAGGTCGAGGCTAGATCCAGGGGGAGGGGGCGGGGGCCCCATGCAGCTGGAGAGGTCGATCTGGACCCGGGGTGGGGG